CTTTGGATCCCTTTGTTGAGTAAGAGGTTATCCTTTATATTTCATCTACTTTTAATTATAATTTCATTTTCATATACTGCTGTTTAACATAAACTCAGGATGCATTTGGAAGAGTTACAAGCTAATGATACTCGATGTGCTAGAAATCAAACTTTGTTATGGAAAAACCATACTAAGTAGTTTGCACAATAGCTTAGAAAAAGGTTTCCAACTCTATCTTCTTTTCTTGATTATTATTTTAATGACTAGTTAGCTTGCATTTTGATGACTGGTTAGCTTGTAGCTTGATCAACATGTCCAGATTTTAGTGTTTTGATGACTGGTTAGCTTGTAGCTTGATGACTGATTTTTTTGGTCATATTGTTAGCTTCATCGTGATCATGTTTTGATTATCATTTTAGTACCTCGGCTTGATCATCATGTTACGATTTCCTGCAGAAAATTCATTTAGACTCAACAAATAATCATTCTAAAAAGATAAGGTGGTTGGCATTTGGACAAAGAAATGTTACTTTAGCACTAAGGGATCTATCATTAATGGCCAACGGTTTCATATAGATGCGGTTAAGCGGACGACAGAAAATAGTGAAGTAACTTATGAAGCATTTAGCATTTGTAGATCAAGTGCTCGAGATATGAGACAAGTTGCTGATATGTTTACATATTATGGAGGTGTAAAGGAGATTTTACTTATGGACTATCACATGTTAAAAGTGCCGTTGTTTAGATGCAATTGGTCCAGCACAAGGAATGGTGAGAAGGAAGATGATGGCTTCACTCTTGTTAACATTCATATGAACGAGCAGCCTATTTGTAAGATCCATCCATTCTACCTTTTAAAGAAAAAAATGTCTTCTATTCTAAGGAAGATGATAATTTAAATTTGTATGTTGTTATGATAGAACCACCTAGAGACTATCATGAGTTGGAAACAGAAGAGAACTTATGTGGTGCACCTTTGCATGTCCCAGAAGTCGATGATTTGAGTGATGAAGCTTCCCAAGATGATAGTATTTATGTTAGGGATGATTGTGAAGGTTTATTAGTGGTAGATTGGTAGTATTTATGTTTGTGTTGTGGTTTGTATAACCAATAAAATATTTTATGGGGTTTTAAATAATTCAATATTTATTGGATTTCTAATAACTTTAATTGTTTTTATTACAAATATTCAAAATAAATATTACATTTAAAAAAAATAAATCAATTTGTAATTATTTTTCTTAAAATTTTTGGATATTTAAATAATTAATTAATAAACAAAACATTTGCTATCTTTGCAATAGGTAAAAAATCAAATTATTGAATTTTAAATAGGGTAATTCTCTCGAATAGATTTTTTAAAGTTTTTGTCACAATAATATAACTCAAAAACCAAACACCAAAATAATATTTTTTATTTTGAAAATTTTAATTTCTTTTATTTTTTATTTTTTAAAATTTGTAATCTTATCTGCAAAGTCCCACTCCTCAACTCTAAACTCTAAACCCTAAACCATAAACCCTAAATCTTAAACCCTAAACATCGCCTCTTAACTATAAACCCTAATGTCTAGATTAATTAACCCTAGGTGTATACGTGTATATTTACTTGTTTTGATAAAACTTTTAATTCTATTTTGGTCATTTTTATTTTTAAGGTTTGTATTTGGGAAAAAAACTTTTTTAGGTCTATCCTAGGAATTTCTCTTAATATTATTTATATCACGTTATTATAAATATTAAAAAATTAATAAAAACTAACGTTATTGTTGTATATTTAACTATAGCATATAAAATTCCACAATCAAAAAGTGTGCGACCTATTATAACGGGCACTATCAGAGCAGTAAAGAACACAGTAGTATACAGAACTCATAGCATTTAACGGCCCCTATTAATACCCACATTTCATGTAGTGTAAATTTTATTCAACTTTGGTTTTATATTATTTTATTTGGATGACATGATGCTAAATTAAATTTTAATATTTAGTGATATGCATTTATGGATTGAATGGATAATATGTGTTTCATCCATAAAGAATCATGTCATATTCAATGGTCAAACAAGAGGAAATATATTTTCCAAAAGGGTACTACGTCAAGGAGATCTTTTTTCTCCTTTCATCTTCATCTTATGCGCGGAAGTGCTCGTTAACCTTCTTAACATACAGAGAATCAAGGAAAGATAACGGGATCCGTGTTACACGCGCTAGCCCCCGGTTTCACACCTTTTCTTTTCTAGTGATAGCTTTTTTTTTCTGTAAGCCGGAGCCCTGTAAATGCAATGAAGTCATGAAAGTAATTAAGACATATGAGAAAGCTTCAGGATAATGCACTAACTTTGAGAAATCAGCCTTAGTCTTTGGTAAGAAGGTACCAGTTCCGGTGATGGAGGCAATCAAAACTTCAACAGGGATAACAAATGAGGGAGGAATGGGGTCTTATCTTGGGATCCCATAAGACATCAGTGGCTCTAAGAGAAAACTCTTTTCTCTTCTAAGGGAAAATTTACAAATGGACATGACGATGGCTGTCATGAGAAGGAAATGAGGTCTTAATAAAATTTATTTTACTGGCGCTGTCTACATTCGTGATGTTGACCCTCTTATTACCGTTAGAAACTTGTGAATATTTAACTAGTGCCATTGCATAGTTCTGGTGGAGTTCAACCCCTCCTCCCCCCCCCCCCCAAAGAGAGGCATTCATTGGACAAAATTGGAGAAGCTATGCAAGCCAAGGAGAGAGAGGAATATGTTTCAGGATGATCCACGAATTAAATCTTGCTCTGCTCGGAAAACAACTTTGGAGACTAGTACAATCCCCTGACTCCTTGTTAGCAATATTACAGAGAGGAAAATACTTTAGATATAGTTCGCCTTTGCAACTAAATAGTTATGACAATCCCTCATATGGATGTACTAGCATCATGGCTGTAAAGCCACTAATAACATTGGGAATTAGGGAAAAAGTCGACTCAGGAAATGAAATCAGAATTTGGAAAGACCTTTGGATCCCAATGGTGCCTCCCTGTTCAGCAAGATTGATTGCCCTTGTGGTCCATCCGATGATGCCAGGAACAACTTCATGACTGGAAACCCAAAACAACAGAACTCGGATCTATTGGAAAACTATGTCAGCCCAGAAGATATTCCACTAATCCAATCTTTGGCCATAAGTTAAGGACATCAGAGAGATGAATTTTGTTAGAGCTATACAAAGGGTGGAAGATACACGGTAAAATCTGGTTTTTCGGCGGCAACTAACGTTCTCAACATAGAAATAGAGCCAGTATTGGAACCGATTATTGTCAAATTACAAGTCGTTGCTTGGAGGATTAAAGCTCCACCAGAAATCTGACATATCATTTTGTAAACAATCTCAGAACAATTTGCAGTCACCAGTAGCTTAACACACCATCATATGCTATATGATAATCATTGTCCTAGAAGCAACCCCCTCCCTGCCTACGTTGTTTCTCAGTGTATGTCATTTCATGCTCATTCGAATGCCTGTCAACATTACAAACATGGGCGCTAGAAGCAACCCCATCCCCGCCTACATTGTTTCTCAGTGTATGTCATTTCACGAATATCGACTACTTGTTCTGGCGAAAAAATGACATAGAAGATCCTGAACTTGATAGACACCGCTACTCTTTGATCATTTGGTATATTTGGAAGGCTCGGAACGACAAACTGTTTAGAGGGCTGGATAGGGACCCATTGAAAATTTTCAGGCTTGCTGAAGCAGAATGCCACGCCTGGTCTGAGGCGAATAGTAAGACAAAGGAGTGAACAACGGAGAGCCAAGTTCAAGAACCTTTGTCAGACTCAGGGAGATGCATGATTGATGGATCATAGACACATGACGCATTCTTTAGTGGGTGTGGATGGACATGGAAGGACTCTAATGGAGATATACAACTTTTGGGAGCAAAGAACCAGCGTAGAAGAATCTTACCCTTACACTCGGAGTTAGAAGCACTGTTGTGGGCAATGAAGTGCATGCTACAGTTACCGACATGCCAGGCATTCGATACCGACTGCAAGGACCTAGTCTCGATTACTCAAAATTTAGGAGCATGGCCAAACTTTTCCACTGAACTAAAGGAGTTCTAAAGGCTGAAGAATAGATTCACGGTTTTTTTTATTTCTTTTATTTTTTGGGTTGAAAATTTATCGTCTGATTCCTTAGCTAAGATAGTAAGATCCTTTTACAAATATTTGTACTATATTGGTTGTTCTATTCTAGTTTATTTTCCCAGATCACTTCAATTTTGAGTAATAGAAAAGTCGTTTGAGAAGAAAAAAAACTTATACGATGTGGTCTGCGTATGCAAGATAAGAGTCAATTTTCTTTTAGTCTAATGAGACTTCATATTTTGTATGTGTTGCTCGATATTTTGTTGTGTACGAGAATACAAATGTATTGTGTTTTATTGTTTCCAAAATCTAAATTGTTGATAATATATAATGTTTGTTGGCTATTGTTATTTTCTGATGTTTCAAGAGCTGTGTGACTGTTTCTAATAATTTCAATGCCACTGAAATTCTTTTTGATCCAAAACTATACGAAGTGCTTGATTTCAAATCAGAGTTACGTAATGATGATTTGGTTATTTCTAGAAAATACTTTGATTCAAAATCTACACTTTTAAAGTAGATTTATATGATGAATTTTTGTTAAAATCCAAAAAAAATTATATCAGCGGAATGAATATATCGAATGAGGTTTTGTTGTGCTTATTAAATATTTTTGGTTGTAGCTATTGAATGTGGGTTCAACTTATAAACCCTGGATTTTTTTTTTTTTTTTTGAAAAGTTAGCATTTACCTTTCATTCAGAATCTAACTCTATTAAAAGGGCATAATAAACCCCTCTGGAGTTGTCCACGTCGACAATTATAATCCACCAATCAGGATATTTCATTTGGCCACATCAGCGAATGATTTCACTTTGGATTTCCAACTATTTTTGAGTCTGAACAATGCGTCACGGAATCCTTTCGTTATGTTCTTCAACTTTTCCACTTCTCAAAGAGATTGTAAATCAATTGACCCACCTCTTCGTCAATAAATGATAATCATCTTCTTCACTCAGATCTACATCTGAAAATTACGAAATTCGTCACATGATGAACCTGCTGAGGCGGTAGATTCTGCGGCTGAGAACATGGAGTCGGAGGCTTCCTGTATCCAGCCGGGACACCGTGATCAGATCTCTCATCATCAGAAAACTCTCGTCTGGAACTCATTTGGTACAGTCGCCGCAGCAGCGGGAAGAGAGATCGTCACATGCAACGGCGGCGGAGAAGAGATCGCCGCGAATCCATCCTCCTTCTGATTCACCTGCTGCTTACTCCCAACGTTGAATCTCTCGGACTGCTCTTCTATCCCCATCCTCTGATCCTGCACCCCCCTTAACCCCACCCGCTTCCTCCATGTGTACACGAATCGGCGGAAGATTCGCCGGCAAAGGAGAAGACGAAGTCGACCCAAACGAAGACGATGTATCAAGCATCGAAGAATCAGGCATACTATGCACATCTTGACCTCCTCCTCCCTGTTGCGTCTGCGGAAGCTCCTGGATCTGCTGCTTAACGCTTTTAACGGACCCGCCGCCGTCATCATCTTTAACACTCGAATCAAGATTATTCTCTCCGTTGTTATCTCCGCGAAGTCCATCATCCAACCCAAGAAAATGATTAACATTAGCATCCGAATCCGAAAAGCCTCTATTAAGAAACCCATGCTATTAAGAGCATTCAGAAACCGCCGCCGGGAGTTCAAACTCGGGAGCTAGCCGGTAGGAAGCTGACGCGACGAATATGTTGCCCTCACGCGCCAGACGAATCCAAAACCAAGGTTCTTTCCTTCTTTTTTTAAATTTACTTTGCCCACCATTTTTTTATACTTTAAAGTTTGTGTTTTTTTTTTTAACAGAATGGTGGAAGAAGTGAGGTGATAGATTCGTGTATCCGTGTTACTGACAATGGAAGGGAAAGTGTTCCTAGAAAAGCATGTCATCTATTTCAACTTTTTTTAATGCTTTTGTTATAAATTGTTTTGTCACTCTTTTGAAGGCGTTCTTCATTTTTACACTGTAAAATACTTCTAATCACAATGATCAACTCAAGGTAAGGTAATTTATGTTGTTTCTTTGATGAAAACTTGAACATCTTTTCATATGTAAAGCTTTCTTTGATATAAAGTTAGGAGCAAGCAGTCCTGAGGATGCAGCTAGGTGGATCAATTTTATTGAAGAGGAAACTTTAAAGTTCACAACTATCCGTGTATCTGGCTGATTCCATCTCTGTCTGAATTTTTACAGGTATAATTAGTTTTTGATGACAGTGAGCCTGTTTTGTTTATTGTATTATATTATGTATAGAACTGTCAGTTCTTGTGGTAAAGATTAAGTTTATTACTTTTTGAGTGTGTGTGTATAGGAAGAGTTTTTGACACAAGCAACACCAGACAAGGGCCGAGCCTGAGAACTTTGCTGATGTGTATGGGAGAAGCATTGAGGACAATAGCCTTCAAAGTTAGGACAGCTTCTTGTGTTAACTCTTTTGGTGATGAACAACTCGCTGTCGATATGCTCGCTGATAAGCTTCTATCTGAGGTTTTGTTTTTTAAAGTTTCATGCTCATTAGGCTTTTGATTTTCTGTGTTTGGTTTTTATAGGCTTTGCAATATTCACACGTGTGTAAGTCCGCTTGCTCTGAAGAAGTACCTGAGCTTCAAGACATGGGTGGTCAGTGGAAGGTGGGTTTAATGTGGCGTTTGATCCATTGGATGGATCCAGCATTGTGGATACAAACTTCACCGTGGAAACTATCTTTGGAGTTTGGCCTGGTGATAAGTTAACCGGAGTCACTGGAGGAGATCAAGTGGCTGCAGCCATCGGAATCTATTGTCCAAGAACCACTTATGTTTTGGCTGTTAAAGGGTTTCCATGAACTCATGAGTTCTTGCTTCTTGATGAAGGTACTCCTCTGCTTTTGTGTCTAATCTAGGGTCTAAAAAGATTCACTCTTTGGTAGTTTTAGACTAAGGTTAAAATGTTTTCTCAGGGAAGTGGCAGCATGTTAAGGAGACAACAGAGATCAATGAAGGGAAAGTGTTCTCACCAGGAAACTTGAGAGCCACGTTTGACAACTTTGAATACAACAAGGTTCTTGCTTTTTTTCTGCTTTAGTCTAATCATTAATCTGTACAAATCTCTGAATGTTTTTCTTATTGTTCTACATTAATGTTATTTTGAAAATCAGTTGATTGATTACTACGTGAAAGAGAAGTACACAACCAGGTTTGTTCGTTTTTGGCCCATAGAAGATATCCGAATTGTCTATTCTTTTTATAATTAAAATCAATTTAAAAATGTTTATGTTTCTTAAATCTCATATCCTACTGTGGAATGAAAAACTTGAGTTAAACACTTCATTTTTTATTCTATTTTTGCAGATTATAGTGAAGGAGAAAGGAATCTTCACGAATGTGACTTCTCCTACGGCTAAGGCAAAGTTAAGGCTGTTGTTTGAAGTGGCTCCTCTTGGCCTGCTCATTGAAAATGCTGGTGGGTTCAGCAGTGATGGATACACCCCTGTGCTCGACAAGACCATCGTCAACCTCGACGACAGAACTCAGGTTGCTTATGGTTCAAAGAATGAGAGTAGTACCCGTTTCGAAGAAACCCTTTACGGAACTTCAAGACTCAAGAATATTCCCATTGGAGTTACTGCTTAGAACCTCATTTAAAATATAAACTGAAAGCATGTTTTCTTTTCCAAAAAACAAAGTTTATTTTTTCATAAAACGGATGGTGTATGTACTTTTGCTATTGGGTTATATGAGAAGCAACAAAACTATTGCCATTGTTTTAATTAATTAAGAAAAAATATGCCACATTTATATAATTGCTTTTGGAGAAATACATGAGTTACAAAATTATCTTGCATGAATCTATATTCCTTTATTGATATTGCTAAAAAATTATGTTATTAATAGATTAGTTGTAATAAAATTCCAAAGATGTCAATACCAAATATAATGAATGTCTTTTATATGTATTTAAGCTAAGATATTTAGAAATCTCGAAAACAACCAAATATTTGAAACTAATTAGAAAGTAAACACATTTCGATCTAATTATTTATTAAATTATTAAGATAATTTATAACGACGACTCGAATATTCCCTATATATTTGTCCTGGAGATTACAATATATTTTGTAGCCAAGTGTCATCATCAGAATGATTCTCAGAATCCTTAGAAAAATAAGTTGATCAATATAATTATATACTATACTTTTTATTAAACTAACTATCAAATTGATAAGTAGTGTACACAAAAATATTTTTCTTTTGCTTAAATAAAAGTTACCGAATTACCTAATATGATTAACATATATATAACAATTAATGATTATGAATAATACAAATTTAATAAAAAATTTTATCTTTTTTTTTAATTTTATATATCAAAAGAAATTAAACAATCACATTAAGCATATAATAGAAAACTTAGATTTTTTCTATGTTATATTTATATTTTTTTTAAAACAATTATAAATTACTAAAAATGGTAAAATTTCCATTATAATCTAAAAATGGTAACATTTAAAATGTATTTTATGATTTCGTTCATTTGCTTACCCGACCTATAAGTAAATGTTTGTTCATTTTATATTTTATTATTTACTTACAATAATTTAATTTTAATTTAATTATATAAAAATTAAAATAAAATATAATTTTATTTAAATTTACATTAAATAAAATATATATGAATATATTTAAAACTATAATCTAAGAAATAATTTTATCTATTGCTTTTGATTAAATAAATTTAAAATTATAAAAACATTATTATTAAGTTAGGTATATAATATCAAAGATTAAAACTAAATAATATTTCTATAATTTATAGATATTTAAAAGAAACTCATAGTAGTGGGATTAGAAAATTATATATTTAATTAGAATTATATAATTTTTTGAAGTTTATTTTAGTAATAAGAATTATAAAATTATCAAATTATCAAAATAAATTTAAGAATATTTCAAAAAATTAAAATGTTATTCAATTTTATTTTACTATTATATTATTTATTGTTATATTAGTGATGATAAATGAGTTATTACCATATTTTAGAAACTTGCCAAAAATATAGAACAATAACTAATGTAAATGTCCATATTATAATTAACATCAACACATGTCATATTTGTTAGTATGTCATGTTATCCTTTTTCTGTGAAAATTAATGTGGTGATGACAAGCGCCAAAATCACTTCTCAAATAATAACTAAGGGATCGCAAAAATATGTAAATCTAATCAATTTATAACAAAAATGTAGTACTATAGTTAAGTTAATAATATCATTCTAATATTGCTATCGTATATGTATATTTTATAGCATTTAAAAAATGCTATTGTAGAGGGGGTATCTATGATGGTTGTCGATGTCATAGCAGAATAGAAAACACAGTGTTATTTATCATTTCTTTTTAAAATAAATAAAAAATTCTTTTTCTCAAGTTCAAATGACTCTTTTCTCAAATGTATAATTATGGTGGTTACACAAACTTTTATGTCTTTGTTATAAAGTTATATTTTGATCTATTCAATGCATACATTTGGTTCATATTGCATAGTCTTTGGAAATTTGGTTACACAAACTTTTATGACTCATTCTCTTCTAAACAATTTTGAGTTGTGCTAAAAATCAACAAATTTGATTTAAGAACCGCTCACTCGCTAAAACCGATGGTCCAGTTTGATATTAAACCCTGATTTTTTTTAAATTTAAGTTAAAAAATGTAAAATTTTAAAATACTTTCATATAAACCTGTATTGATTTTAATATCAATTTAAATAAATTATTTTTTCATTAGATTTTTATTATTTTTGAAGTTTTCATTTTATTTCTATATCATTTTAGCTTCAAACAATGATAAAAACCTTATAAAATAATTTTATAGTTATACAGATATATATATATAGATATTTAACTTAAAATTAAATTAAATTTATAATCCAGTTGGACCTGTGTGACCATTAACCTAACTGCAACATCAAGTAAATGTTCGGTTTGGTATTCGAAACATTGATGTCAAAGATAAATTAATATCATCCAGTATGTATATAAATAGAATAAATAAACATTATTCCTAACAACAAAATATACACGATCTTAAATTTATATAATATCATTTTAAATTTAAATAAAATTCAATTCATTTTATATACTAAATTTTCAGATTTTGATAGTTATTATTTTCTACCAACATTTTGAAGATAGAAAATATAAAACTACAGATTAAAATATTAGAGTAATTATTATGTAAGTTAATTATACCAAAATTAAAATGAGAGTTTTGTTAAAAAACCTAAAAATCTATATTTTATATTAAAAAAAATTGTTCATTATTAGTATTACTGGTGAAACTCTTACTTGCATTAACTACAATGATTTTTTCAATCGTTATCTTTTACTATTTAATTTAACATTCTATTTCTTCTGTTTTTAATCATAAGTTTAATTATACAATGTATCATATATGTAAACAATATGATTAGAAAAATTGTTTAACAGACTAGCCGCGCGTAGCGCGGCCAAAAGATCTAGTACTATATAAAGAAAATAACTCTAAAACTACTGAATTTGAGCCAAAAAGAAAAAAAAATTAGAACACATATCAACACTCTTTGATATTGAAAGAAACTTCATTAATGTTAAATTCAATCAAACAAATAATTGAACTTTTAAATATAAGAATTGTGTATAAACCAAAAAAAAACCAAAAGCCAGAAATTGATTAAAGAAAATCAAAGAAAACATACAAAAATGAATTTAATATGTATATCTAATTGATTAATTAGTTTGAATACTAAAAATAATATTATGTTTATTGAGAATATATATTAATCCACACAAGTTATGGATCCCACCTATTTTCTTCATTACAAGATAAAACTGTAATTGAAAAGTAGAAGAGCAAAGACAATGATTATGTATGTGTAATTTCCACCATATGATAGATTAGATAATGGCATACACAAACCAAATCTCGAATCCGACAAAAGATACAAATGTATAATGGCAATTTACTAATAATTATGAGGTTTAGCTTTAAAATAATAAAAATAATATAGATTATGTATGTGTAATTTCCACCATATGATAGATTAGATAATGGCATACACAAACCAAATCTCGAATCCGACAAAAGATACAAATGTATAATGGCAATTTACTAATAATTATGAGGTTTAGCTTTAAAATAATAAAAATAATATAGATATTCCAAATTCTGCTTTACTGGTAATGAAATCAAAATCCATTGAAAACTGATAAAAAAGACTGACCTTAAATAACTACAATGTTAATCAAATGTTAAACCAAGTTCAGTTTAATGCCCAGACCCTAAACATTCTTTCTTTACTTGGTGGCTTCAGGATTATTGTCAGCATTAAAGCTATTGGTTTTCCTCAACGATTCTTCTGTTGCTTTCTTCTCAGCTTCGTGAGGATTGGTTAAATTCTTCTCAATGTATGCAGTGTTTGTTCCTTGGGCAGGTTGTTCAGTGTGTTTAGTCTGAGTTGATACCTCATCCCTTGGGGCAGACCACGAATGTCCACAGGCAATACATTCCAGCTAGATGCATAAAACAAAATCAGAATGTGATTATTATGCTCAATGAATATTCACAGAAAGAGAAGAAGATCATGCCTAGAATAGATGACTTAATATGGAAAAGCATAAGAACCTGATACCGTTCTCCATTCCCAGCTTGAATGATACCATTCAGGCCAACTAAAATTTCACTGCATCTTGAGCATCTTACGTCAGTCATCTGCATCGAAAGCCAATACATGATAAGGTCAAAGACGTTTTCCTACTGAAATACAAGAAACTAGATAAAACTTTGACTGTCAGAAATGAAAAAACCTGCATTCGTTCCGCATCATCAGGCTCATTCTTCTCTGTTTCCTCATTGGTTAAACCCTCCTGAATCCCATAAAACAAATCTTATTTATTTAACATGTAAAAAGTGATCATTGATATTTGCGCATTATAGAACAAATTCAGATTAATCTATTTACAAATATGTAATATAACAATAATTCACTAACCTTTAACTCAGTGGGGGACATGTTCAAAATCTTTTCAGGTTCTAACTCCCCATTGAGCAGTCGTTTAGCCAGCAGTGCAGAGTTCTACAGACAAAAATAAATGGAATATTTGTTCAAATCATCATTAGGCATTCAAATATTTGCATGTGATAAACCTTGATATTGAATGCCAATGCCCTTATCTTTCGATTGTATTTAGAATAATCCAAGGCAAGAGAAACATGTAAAGCCGACTCAAGAGCACAAACCCGAGGAACAGCAGCATCTGGCCAGAGAAAACTCTCATTCTGTCAAGCATTTTAAACAAAAGGGTTATTCCAGCAACTAATGAATTCTTGACGTTTCAGATGATCAGAATGTTATCTGGTAAGAACAAATATGAAAGGTGATTGTCATAGAGAGACTTGATCAAAAGGATATATGAAAGTTTAGTTTAAGACCTTTAACAGATTCTCGTGAGATCCACGCTCAGCCTGTTCAAGATGGGATCCAGAGAAACCCACATTTGCTTCGTCACCAGCGTGAAAGCATATGTTGTGGACTGCTTTCAGAAGCTTCGCCAAACATTTGTTACGATGAGCATCATCTGTTAGTGATTCAAACTTGTATAGGATGGAATGATACTCATCATCCTCCTTTCTAACATCAACAGGAGGTATGTTTACTTTCCGGGAAGATCTTTTAGCCTTGTTTACATCTTCCTCAGTTTCAAGGTCAGCAAGATCACCCAATCGCAACATTGACTTTTCCACAAGGAGGTCAATTTCACGTTGTTTTGCAACTGCATAATCTTTATCAGTTAAATTATGCAGCTTCTTCTCATCAGTATCATACACCTTTCGCACGATAAAACCAGGGTTTTGTTTGCGTTTTGGAAGTTGCTTATGAGCTGGAACAAAATGCACCACGCATCTATGCATCACAGATTCTACTGGGACCTCATCACGATGGAAACTAAAGAACAGTTCTCTTGTATCATCTGCTTCCCAGTTTCCACCACCCTTTTTCTTTGCATCTTCTTGACGATAGAACCACTGTCCCATAATCTTCATGTGTCCATCCTTTTTTTGGGTGATATCCTACCAAAAAAGAAACGAGTCTTATTTCAAAGAACTGGTAAGCATATACAAAAAGAATTCAGCAGCACGTACACCAATACCTTGATAATGGCAACAAACGGCTTTAGCTTTTCGTTTGGTTGATTCACCAGCACCGAATCCTCCTGTGCAAGAAATTAAAGGAATGTCAGAGAGACTAGAAACAAATGGCCTCTATGCATTTGGGTACAAAGGGAAAAGATGATGTAAAAAGAAAAAAACTTTCACTCTCTAGACCAAATAAAAGAGCATCTATGGTTAATACATTCTCACACAGAAATCAAAGTTCCTTATAAACCATAGATTCAACGATGTAATAATACATCAATCTAGTCAACACAACTCACCATCTGGTATCTTTTACCGCCGTACTCGAACTGCTCGTAATGGTTTCTTCTGTCGTTGCCTTTACCCGTAACTTTAACCGGCTCACCAACTGGTTTTGCGACATAGAACTTCTCTCCTCCTTCCTTCCTCTCCTCATCCTCGTCGTTTTTCTTCTTCTCGTCCTCCTCGTCGTCAATTTTTTTGCACAGCCTCACTATGCTACGCTTCTTCCTCTTACCCTCCATTGTTTCCTCAAGTCTCCTTGAGTTCTTGTGGGAGATGGATTACACTCCTCCGCAAGGCCCATCGAATGGGAGAATTTAGCCCGACACAATAGCATATTCGGCCCATTAACCTTACTGGAAGCGGCTTGGCATGACGGCGCGTTTAGAAGCATAACGAAGAGCGTCCCAGAGGGTTAAGGAAAAGACGGTTTACCCGGATACGCTAAACAAGCCCAATAGGAACA